CAATAAAAGACATTCTCTATTAAATATTAAAAAAAAAATCTAAAACAGTATAACACAGGTTAGGTTAAATAATAACATTTATTTGTACAACAACATTAAGTTAAATAGGACTTAAGGTTGACTATAACAAACAAATGTGTATAAAAATAATAATAAAATATTTTTATAAACAGATGAAATGAATAATCATCAAAATTAATTTACAAACAATTTTTACTACATTTTTTGTTGTTTTTAAATTGTTGAAAGGCGGTATAGCAAATTATTTTCTTTGCGTATATTAAAAGAATATGCTTGTCTCATAAAGTCATAACTAATAAATTAAGTAAGTTCATAGATTAAAAAAAATCATCGAAATTGTCATTGAAATTAAAAGAGTTGAGACCCATAGTGAATGTAGAAGTTAAAAAATATCCTTAATAATATAAATTGTTTAACATTTGGATATTTAATTATTAAAAAAATTATGTATTTTTATTTATTCAATAATATCCTTAACTCACATCGATGTTAATTACAAAACTACATATAAATGTAATTTATGAAACGATTACAATTTTCAGCTATACTTACTTGCAGTTTTTTTTTTATAATTAAATCAAAATATAATTTTATTCACATAATTGTACAGATAAATGATAAAAAGAAAATAAGAATAATATTATTAATGTCATTGGCACCTTTATTTGATTTTTTTATTTGTTAATGTTTTCTGGTTATTAAATAATTGAGGAATCAGAATAGCACAGCCAATACAGCGCGGCGTGATGTAATAATTAATATCAGAAGTAATTGAAAAAACAATGAACAGTAATATTATACTTAGGGGAAGGTTACGATTTAAATCGAATAACAAATGATCCGAATCCCGGATACATGCATTAATATGCGTCAGGGACGTTTTACCGTTTTAAAACATGTTATCGGAAACGTTATTAATTATGTGGCAAAATCGATTTTAATTTTAACAAGCTTATAATATTTTCAATGACTGAACTTTATTATAAATAATAATCGTTTTCCGTTATTGTTTAATCTCGAGATAGGTATGTATTAGGTAGGTATGCCATCACAATTTTGTTGTAAACAGAATAAAACTCAAACTTAAACCCATTCATAATATACAATACATATCCATCACAATAACTTAAAACTGTAAACACAAAACTTTTATATCCGTTCAAACTGAATATCAGTACTAAAAACATAAAGTACTTAATAATTCATACATTTTTTTTTATACGTAATTTTAAATCTTAAATAATAAAATTTCTGAAAAAAATAAATTCTAAAAACATTATTACCTAGGTAAATTTTTACAGTAATATAATTTTTTCCGGATAAAATAATCAAGATGTAAGATATAAGCAAGGTACCTAGGTATGTATCGATAACCTAACTCATTTATATACAGGTATATAATTTCTATTAAATCCACTCCAACAGTGGCAACGTTGAAAAAATCATATTGTTAGACGCCTATGTGTACCTGTCTGATTAAATATGTAATCGGACTTATGAAAATTAGTACACAATTGGAGATTTATATTTTTAAAATATTATTGTTACCAATAAAGTACTCGGGTTAGTTATGAGTAGAACACGATTGCGTACGTTTGTCCTTTTTGGCTACACGATTGTGTATGTTTGTCAAATGTTGTCAAATTTATTCATTTTACCATATAATACTTAATAAATATCTAGTAAAATATGTACACTTCTACAATAATTAATATAAAATAACAAAATATACCTAAAAATAATAGCTAAATAATAGCAAAATAATTAATAAATAAATAAATCGTCAATAAATTATTAATAAAGCTTAATATTCTGTATACAATAGTGCAAAAAAATCAGGTAAAATCGTACACAATCGTGTGCCTTAAAAAGGTATCACCTTTAACGAACGTACGCAATCATGTTATATCCCTTAATTTGTGTGTACCTATGTACGAGTGTGTATATTGTATGGCTGAATTGTAATGATAATAATAATAATAATAATAATATACACAACCGTCAGTAACGGCGACAACGATAGATGTTATGTTATTCGGTGCTAAGAAAACACGTGCCCTTTTTCGACATAAGCCTGTATAATGAGATATTATATATATATATACACACACACACTATAATATACATAGGTACACATACGCACACTGCACACATCCTCTGCTGCTGCACTAGCTTTTGGCTCTTATTGTTTACGATTTACATATATATTTGCGTGTATAATATCAAGACCAGTTGATCCGATTAAAATACTCACAGGGCAAGCGTGTTTTTGTATTTCACATATGACAAACGCTTATTATATACATATATATACCCACACCCATAGTCGCTAACAATGGAATAAAGGATTGAACCCAACAGAAAACAACCCACCGCCCCCATACCTTTAAAAAACGACGAGGTAACACCGAATGCAACAATATCGAATCAATGGCTTGACAGCATATACAGAGCGACTCACTTAGTATGTTCACCCCCATTTTTCATTTAATAATAAATGTATTAAGATTCTGATTTTTGCAATTTTCAAATATAGGTACTTACTTCAATGCGATATTTTTCGGTTTCTCGAGATTTTTTTGTACTTCTTAATAACTTAAATGATCTATGGAAATAGAAATTCCTGTTTTTCAAATGAAAATCTTCTTTTAAACAGTAAAAAATTATTCAACAGACTTAGATCAGATTTTCTAGACATTTTGACATCTCGAAATCAAAATAGTAACGTGTCAGTTTTGAGTCCAAGGGATAATATCAGAGCATATTTTAACATATAAAGTACAAGTACCAACTAGCAAAAAATTGGTGCCACCTAGAGGTTAATGAATGTGCTTCGTACTTCCATTTCACAAGTAGTAGAAAACATAAAAGATACCAGACGAGATGGGGTGTAAGTTTAATTATAAAATGGAAAGAGCAAAAAAAAAGGTTATCAAGCTACGCCTATGATACCTGAAATAAGTATTTGAGCTAGTCCTTATGACTTATAGTAATAATGCCACCTAGTAAAAATTCTTAAAATATGCTCTGGATAATGTATAGGGTCGTGGTTTAAAAATGGATTTGGAAGATATGGGAACTATAGTCTATGGGTTTTTTTAACTCGAATAATTGATACCATTAGTTATTTTTTTTTAAATAGTTCAAGTATAATCAATATAATTTGTAAAACCTCTTTAAGGATTAAGTATATAATACTTACTATAAACATTTTGATAACTAAGAAACTATTCGTTCGATTTTTGAATCAGGTACACACACATTTTCAAAAAAATTATCCAATTAATAATTTGAAAAACAAAAATTTGTATCTCTTCCAAACTTTAAGCACAAAAAAATCTTAAAAAGCTCAAGAATTTTAAGATACAATTTTAAAATTCCAAAAATTATATTTATAATAACTACATAATTGAACAATATTCTATTCATATTTATCAACATTTTATAATAATTTGTTTTTGTATATACGTATTAACGGCGGTCCCAAACTACTGCAATTTAACCATATAGTGTCAGCGTCAAAAGTAGAAACGTGGAGTTTACTGATATAAATATAATTTTAGACAGTGTAATAATATTGATTTATATTATGTTTTGTATATTTTAGCTCTTTGAATAATCTAAATCAAGAAAAATAAAAAAATAAAACTAGAGCACCAATGTCCCGTTGGCTATTACTACAATTATACGATAATCGATGTCTATAAAAGTAGAAATTATCAAAATATATTAATTTTAGATCAACAACTTTACTAACATTGTTCTTTTAGCTTATTATTTTTTTTTTTACAGAATTTTCATTTTATATTTTTATAAAACATTAATTTAATAATTTTGTTAAATGTAAAAAACAATAATTCATCTTCTATTTGTTGTGTAATTTATAAATATAGGTATACAAATGAGATTAAATATCATAATATTTTAACTTTATCAATAAATGTTAATACGTTTACGTAAAAAAAAACTTCTTGCTATATTTTTTCAATTTATAAAGGCGTACGATACAGTACAAACCTACCCAAAGGCATAAGCGCATAAAATGTCATTAAGTTATCAACATTGTTTTGTCAAATTGTGACCTGGTAATTATTTAATCGTATAGGTACTTAATAATAATAAGATTGTGCAATTTCGTCGTGGGTACTTGGTGCGCGGGAGTGTCGGAGTGTAGGTATTGCATTAACGACAATTGAAGTTTAACGTCGTAAGTTGCAATTTGCGACTGCAGTTGAGCATACATGGTATATTATTATGTAGCCGAAACGTGAACCAATTTTTGCATTAAACGTGTGCAACGAACACCGCGGATACAATGTGGACGGCTGCTGTCACGAGTCTTATTTGATCAATTTTATGATAGTTAATTTTAAATGTTTATTCTGAACACCTCATTATCACTATATTTACAATTAAATACAAGTTAATATGCAATTATATAGTAGCATTGGTATACCATATCGGGCACGTTTGCAAGGGGATGTTTCGAGCGTTCAAACACCTCACGAAATTTTATGGATTTTTTTTCTTGATTATTAATTATTACTTATTCAGTAAACAGGTTTAATTCGGTAGTTATTATTTTAATTACACATACCTATATGTCATTCTATTCAAGAAAATAGTTATTATAACTTGTAAAGATTGTTAATATTTTTTGACAAATCATTTGGTACCTAGGTATATTATGCTAATTGAATAAGAATAGTTATAATTTTCAACATTCAAATTTCAAAAAGTAAAAACTTTTTCGTGCGTATACTCACCTACGCCTCTGAACATTTAAGGCCACTTACGTCATAAAAATAAATAACTATATAATTTACCACTCGTTTAGTAGTATAATAATATTATACAAATAAAGAAATATTATTGCTATTAGCACTATTACCCATATTTATCTAAAAACTGTTACAAATAATACCTATAATAGCCATATTACAAAAGTTAATCATATTGTTATTTTTTTTTTTCGAAAGGCGGATGTGCCATGTTTGGCCATTCCTGTTACGGCGGTCACGGTAAACGGTCTTTTCAAATCCCCATGCAACAACCAGCTAGAATTTGGCCAGCCACAAGTGAAGAAGAGGCCCAAGTCGACGACGCCATCAACAAGTATTTTAAAATAAAGCCGCACTTTACACCGTTTTGGCAAAAAATGGTGAGTTTTCGTACCTATAAAGGTTTAAATTAACTATAAATTGCACAATACAATCCAATAACAAAATTAATTACCTTTATCGGATCTGCAATCTGCATTAAACATTTTCGTAGTTGAGTATAAGTTATAAATATTCGCTTTTGAAGACATCTCACGTCTTACACATATTTAATGAAGTGTATATATTGTTTGGCATATTTAAGCAGTTCTTATTCTATCCAAGTTAACCTAACCTCGTATTTTACGGTTTACGATTAATTGTTATCTTTAAAGTGAAAATATAATTTTATTTTTATTTTTATCTATCATCGTCACTTATATCGATTCATTCCTGTAATTTGTTTTATCTATTTTCAAATATTTACATATTACGTATGTGACAATTTACTTATACCAGTATCTATAAAATACAAAACGTACTAAGTGCTACTGACCGTTTAAGATTTAACTTAACTAACTATATCCATATCAAACGTACAAAATAATAATATATGGCGAATTTTATGAACTTATTCAGTAGTTTCTAATTTGCTTGTAATCGACTTAAAAGTTAAAAAAGTTATCTGTATCTTTTCGTGTGTTTTTGTTAAGATATTTAAATTTTTAAGCGAATTAGGTATATGTACCTATATAAAATATTACAGTTTAAAAATGTACATAACTCCAAACTCGCTTAAAAATTAAAATATGGTAAAAAAATCAACGTGACCCTACAAATAATGTTCTTGTTTTTTTCAATGAGTTTGATAATAAATAAATCAACTGTAATATTAAAAGTTACTACGCAAAATTGGAACCACTGGACACATAATATTCGCCACATTTTGTACAGACTGTAACAGTCAAAGATGGCACGCATTAGCATGGCGTCCTCATCGACTGTTGACCGAAAAATTATAAACAAGTCTGTTACAGGTGCAAATGTACAATGAGCGCAAAATTAATCATCTTAGCAACGACAGCAACAACATGTGAAGACAAAACCGAACGAGAGATTGAAATGATTCTATTTTCTTGACTCGGACACACATAATATTCTCATTATTGTCGTCAGACATATCGATTAGACTTAAAAATCCCTCCACAAAAATATAAAAACAAATTTTCCCTTGTCTCATTATATTTTGTAATTGTCCTATACTATGTTATATACGTATAATGATAAAGATTATAACAATATACTATCATATTATTATTATATATAATAATTATTATTGCGATGATATATTATTTTGATGAAATCAAGTAATAAATCGTGTACTACCTATATTATAATATTATGTTTAATTTATTAGACTTCAAAAACAAAATATGTACACCTACTTATACAATACACCCACCTATATAGTATACATATATATAAATACAAAATAGTATACGACTTTATATGCTATAATAGTTTTCCTGATTTAATAACAATAATATACGGTTTGGATATTATAATATACGATATAATATTATTATTTATTGTGATTTGTGATTATTATTATAACATTCATAATAACTCCTATACCCCATATAAAGGGGCTTGGAGCGATTTTACTCCTCCCCCCCTCAAACTATGTTAAGTGCCTCCAAATCAAATCGTTATTAAAGAGAGAACCAGTACCTAACAAATATAATTGTTTTTACAATTTTAAAATTTAACCCACTATAAAAATATAATTTTTCTTTCTTGATATTTTGTTTTTATGTTGCACTATTATAAATTATATTCCAATAGCTATTGCATGATGTAAACGCGGACAATTAGAAGTTTTGTGTAAATTATGTATGAAAATCAATGTATATTATATTGTGTCGTTTGGCGGATGCATATAATCTCCGTCACCGTATTTATCTTATAACTACTTTTCGATCAGATAAAAGTATGTATACCTAAACGCTATCAAATGAGTATTCAATATTATTCACGTATCACATTTTTGTATTATAAAACGCCATAAGCATTAAATTTGCTACGGATATTGGCCCAATAGTTTGTGGGTTTATGCAATTTCCATTGCGATTATCAGTTTTATTATTTGTGGATAAATCAAAATTGCGTATAGGCGTTCGTCTTTCATTCAGTATTACAGTGAATAGATGGTACCCTACACATGGCTCGTACAGTTATACATATTATACTTTCATTCATTCTGATAAACAATGGTAAAACATTTTGCCTATAACCACGTGATTATCGTATGGTTAGCGATTAACGGTAGACCGCCAACAGAGTTGTAGATCACACAAAGTATAGATCGCTAACAACCCCAGCACTCGACACATATTATGTATAGGTAGTACAAGCAACCATTTGTACCCATCATAAACTTCTTAACACGTTTTCACGTTACTACATTATTTTACTTGTTGCACTTCCGTGTAACTTACCTACATAATAAGCCTGTACTTATGAACATTGAACTGTAAAATAAGATGTAATTATTGCAGAAATGTTTAAACTTCAAATAAATTACGGTATATACTGAATACACATACAGGTACCTACACATTAAACATAATATAACAAATAACGTAGGTACTAGAAATCAAGGGCTATTATTTTTAAACTAATTCGAATATCTACGTTTTATAATTGCGGACATTTGGCCTGTGGAATTTATTGTCTAATCGAGTAAAACTATACGTAGGTACTTGAACCTGAAATGTCAAGCACAAAAAATTTATCATTGAAATCGCGGACACAAGTGATCTAATAATTATATTTAAACACGTTCAAACGTCGGAATCCTTCCATTCTCATTTTCAATTTTATTTATAAAAAAAAAAAATATATGATTTCATCAATAAAACATAAAAGCTCGCCGACAATAATACAAAATTATTTTATAATATAATAATCTGTGAGATGGTTAACATTTAAAGCGTATATGCGGTTGCAGCTGTGTCACTTTCGAAAACTAAAACAATCTATGGACTTTTATGAATCTAATTTACTACTAGTCAAGACTCAAAATAGAGGAGTCGCAGGGAAGCAGATCACTTTTACTATTTTATTTTTTATTTGCATACCCCAACAATTATTTTTCAATGAGGACGGCGTAATCTAATAGAGTAATGCCCATATTAATTGTTCATCAAATACCAATGAGTTAAAATTATTGTCAATCATACTGTAAATTGTAATTACAATTTGTTGAAAAATGTAATATATTTTATAATTTTTCAAATTTTTGATTTCTTTTTTTTCTGGGAAGTTTTAATAGTATCATAAAATTATTGTATTGAGTGACAATTAATTGAAATAGTTGAGTATTTAGGTAAAAATAAATCATGTGTTTCTTGGCATTAATTAGGTATTTATAAAATAGAAATTTAGTATTTAAAAAAATCTAGTGGTGATTGGGGGGTGTAGAGCGCAAAACCTCTCCACAGGTCTGTGTTAAATTATTTTGCATTTGGAAAGCATTTTTCAACCGTTGAATAAGAGCTTCTCTACTTAATTTTTCCCAATTCAAGCACAGCTACTGGGTATGCAGTAGGTATATGATTATTTATTACTTTTTAATTTTTTTAAATGTTTGAAAAAATAACGTGAACATATTATATAAAATCTATACCTCAATACTTGTTGATTTTTGTAGTTATTTATTTATCTTTTTATATTAGGTTGGTATAATCCTTATAGTTTCAGCTTCTAGGGGGAGTGATAATTACATTGAATTTACAATGAATTATCATTCTATTTTTTATTTTTTCTGTAAACACGTCAAGTAGTTAAAAAAATGCACCATTTTCAACTTTGAAAGTGAGTTTGGATAAGAAAATGTACCTAGTTTGTACTTTAAACTTTAAAGAAGTCAAAATTCACAGTATTTTTAAAAATAACCTGGAAAAAAAAAATAAAGAAAAAAAGAAAAGTTTTAAAGATATAGTTTTCGACAAAACGATTTTATTTTTGTTAAACTAACTCAAAAACAGATAAACGTAAATATTTTAAATTTTCACCAAATGTTTATATGATTAATTATCACATTGTATACATATCATAAATGTATAATATATCTAGAATTTCGTCAAAATTCGTAAAATCTCAAAAGATTATTTTTGTAGTAATAAATAAAGTTTCTAGAGGAATCTAATTAATTTTTAATAAGCGATTGAAGTTCTAATTTTTACGAAAACATTTTGATTGACTCGTAAAATGAATTTCTCCTCAAATGGTTTTAGATATTTTATTGTAATTAAAAAACAAATAACCATAGACTACTAGTTTTCACTAAATATTTAAACGAACATTTTCTATACCTACATATAGTAAAATTTTCAAAATATTTCTACTTATTTTGTTATTTACACACAATTCAATAGTCTTCAAGGTTTTTTAATTTTTTTTTTTTTATATAAATGCCAATAAAAATATATTCACTTGGTAAAAAAGCTTAAAAATGTAGTCTGATTCCGCATAAGTTATTATAACATATATTCAAAGACAATTGAAATACACAACCATAATTTATTATCATAAGCATTTTAAGTTAAAGTATGGACAAAATTCGTAAAAATTACAAAAATTTGTAAATTGTTTTACAATTATAAATTAATATGTATGCAAGTTTTATAGCTAAAGCTTGAAATAACATTCATTATAAGTAGTTAGTTTTTACTAAGAGCAAAAAAATATATAAAAGCATAATTTTTTTATAGACGTTTTGAGTTAAATTTGGACGTAATTCATATTTAAACTATGAATAACAATGATGTTCATTAATCTGCTATAGTTTAAATCATAATTCATGAGGACATGAAGCCTATATGTGTATTATTATATTTTTTAATATTTTTAAATGTAATAGTTTTGGTAAAAATGAATTCAGCCTACCGTATTATTAATATTAAATAAATTACTTTACCTGTTAGCAATATCAAAAAACAAAATGTGAAATACTTATAGGTATAGACTAATAAATGTCTCTGCTGAAAATAGTTTTTTGTAGACAATGGTGCATCATTGAATTTAAATTTAATACATTCGTCAGTGATACATTCAACACCTACTGTACAACAGAGCTGTACCCATTTCGGTTTTCTCCAATATTACCTAAATGATACAACTTTATAAAAATTAACCATTAAAAACACAATTGTCATTTATATAGTTCCCACTTAGACAATTATTTTATGATAAAAGAAACTTAAAAACTTGACATGTGTCTTTATAACAAATCGAGTGTTTGTAAGTTGCTGAAAACTTTTTTATATAAATATTATCAGTTATACATTCTTTATTTAATAGGAGGGAAATAATTAAGGGCGACATTAAAACTTTTCTGACAACAAACTCTTAAATACGTCTCTGGACATACCTAATTGGTACGACTACAGCATTTAATACGAGTGCAATCGGAATGAAATGGACTTAATAGGTACTATTTTATTTTTTAATTACCTTTTATTATAGATTAGTTTTTTTTTTTTTCATTTTCAAATAATGTAATAATTAACTTTACATTATCACATTCTTAAATTTATAAAACAAAAACATAAATTATTTTGCTAATGCTTAGTATACGATATAAGCCTACTGATTGTCCAGTAAAATGATTTTCCCGGAAATGAGATGCAGGAAAAATGTTTCATAATCAAATGTATGTAATTAATTCGCCAAATTGTTATCATTTATTTTATACAACTCAAATAAAAAACATTGAGTTGTTGGTGACATTTCAAATAATAATTCATACCTAAAACTAATAACCATATCTAATAAATTGAATATAATTCAAAATATATTAATTATATAATATCTAATGGGTAAATAGTCGAGATAAACTTATTGAAATAATATTTTGGTTTAACTCGTAACAAAATGAAAATTACCTAAAATACGGCAAAATTTATACAATTAAATCAAAGGGTTTATAAACAGAAAATATTTAATAAGTATCCATGTTTGTATCTAAATATATATCTGTCAAACACAATTAATATATATTTATACACAGTCAATGCACTAAAGTTTTAACAAGTTTTCGAAAATATTGGACCAATTTTATCATTAAGTAGAAAAATAATGGTATAAATATTATTATTATGTATATAATATATTGTATATCAATATTGCATTAAATTAAATCATATTATTTGGACACAAAAAACAAACAAATAAAATTAAAATATTAAAGAAAATAAATATTTGAAGAATAAATAAAAAAAAAATAATAATATAACAACAGTAGTAGGCTATCATCAATTTATAACAAAAAAAAAAAAAAAAAAAAAAAATAATAATAAAAATAAAAGTATAAAGGAATTGACTAAAACCGTTAAGTCAACCAAAAACAAAAAGTAAACAAAATGCCCACTCAATTTCTTTTAATTTTTTTATATATTAATTCAGCTACACCGTCACCCAATTAATGTTTCGTTTGTTTATAATTATTATTATTTTTTTTTTTTTTTTTGTTTTATTTTTTTTACAAACACCAACGAAAACTTACGATATCAAGTCTTGTCTCATGCAAAGAGATCATATTGTTTGTTGTTGTTGTTTTGTCCTAACGATAATTTACAATTAATATATATTATCATACAATAATTTTATATAATAAATTTACATATCATACTCAAATAGTACTTAAAAATAATTACAAAAATAGCGTGCTGCAATCTACGGCACAAATTATTTACATTAGTTTTTTTTTAGTTTATATGCGCTATTATATATTTATAAATCTATTTAATATATGAATAATATATATTATGTGTAAAATTTGATCCTATCACAGAAATTGTGTACAGTTTAATATGGGCAACATAACAATTATTACTATTATTATTATAAATGAATGTGTCTAATGCAACAATTGTTAAAAGTAAATTAAAAATAAAAAAAAAATGGTAAAAATACTTATATGGCTACAACTGTATCAGTTCATCCATTTACGACAGTTAGGAGCACCGCAGTTGCACGGAATCTTGTGTTGATCATCTTCAATATCAAACTGGTAGTCATAAGCAAGCTGACATGGCAAAAATTAAAACTATCATTAGTAAATTTCATAATTTTTAACAAACTGTAAGAATCCTAAAAATTAATTAATATTCATCTTTTAAACTCACCTCTTCGCCTCTAGCAATTCTTCGCTTGGCAAATATTATAATTCGAAGCTCCCTGTCTACTTCCACTTTTTCGGTAACACAATTAGGATTACATGAGTGATTAATATAACGAGCTAGACCTCCACTTATAGTAGCATCGACCACTCGTTCTTCATCCAAACGAAACATGTATATACCACGGTTCTATTACAGAAACATATATATTAAACTATGTTGTTAAAACAATAATATTTTTACAAAGAATTTTACCTTAGCCTCATAAAGTTTCTCTCTATAATCACATAACTGTGATCGGATAATTTCACCGATATATTCAATAACCATAGTATGTTTCTCTAAATCTCTAGCAGCATAAAGTCCCAGGCCTTGGATTTTAGACCTAGTAGAAAATTAATTTAAATTAATACTAACCGACTATTATTTTAATTTAGTTGAGACAATATTTACCTGGCTAAGTACACGTTGTTCCTCCATTCCTGTTTCATTTTTTTATATTGTGAGGATTTAGAATGAACAAAATGCTTAGAATATGGACAAGTAGGAGGAGCTGATAAGTCCAACTGACTTAATAATGATGAACTATGAGATGATGTAAACGATCTAGGTATGTGTGATCGTAACTTTCCAGGAAGAACTAATCGTCTACGGCCTTCACAGCGAGCACATCCACTTGGATTGATAGCTAAAGGAAGTTCTAGAAGAGGATTACGACCGTAACGGAAACGATAATCAGATTGTGTCTCGATACCTGTATAAATATCAAAATAATTTGTGATAAATTACCCTAAATTAGTAGAATTCATCCATATTGTTTTAAAATCATTTTTTTTTCTTTTCATCATTTTATCACACACGATACTTACCAGGCAAACTCTCTAAGACACGGACAATTGCTGGTTCAGTAAGACCAAATAAACTATCACCGCTTACATGTTGTGGATGTAGCTTTAACAAATTATTTGCAATTCTCATACTAGCAATAGCTGACAAAACTTTTGACCACACTGCTCTTGGACTAGAATCTTTAAGTTCTAGATCTTCATTATCTACTTCTTGTACAATAATTCTAAATTCTGGCCGTGCATTCACTTCATGAATAGAACAAATGTATTTACAACGCTTGTTAGGTACTCGCATACTCCAAAACAAACGAACCTAAAAAATATATTTTAATTAATAAACTATGTTACAGCTAAAAATTAACATGTATAACTTACCACTTTGAAACCAATTGGATAAATAGAAGTTGGTGTATGAAATGCAGCTAATTGATGAGGTAATAATTGACCTATATTGAGAAGTGTAAGACTACCAACACGTAACAAAAACTGATGAGAACTTGAATGATGCATTACAGCAGCAACTTGCCGATTCTCATCTCTATTAATATAGACACGTCGATGAACGGACAATGTAGTCAGCTCGTTTTCTTTGTCACTCTTTGGAGCATGGCTACTGCAGTACAAAGTTTTATTTTTATAGAACACAGCATCATCTTTGACAGCACATGGTAAATGATAATTTGTGGAACACCTAAGCTTGTAACATTTCAGTGTTGCACCAGGTCTCTGACATACTATACATTCTACACTGAGAGATTGCCGTAAAGCAATATCAACTTTCATCAAAGCTCCATTAACAGTTTCATAAACATCTTCTGACCATAACGCACAGTTTAAATGAACCCATTTATCAACATCAAAGTTTAATAACCTAATTAATACAAAATAGTAATAATTACAAAATTGAAATGTATTGTCAATTTATTTAAATATTGAACTTCAAAATAAAATACAAAGTGTGTATACCTAGAGGGTCCATCTGAAACACCATCTCCAAATTGATGACAAAACAAACACATACGTTTGTCTTCTGGTAATTTTGGTGATGTAACAGTGATTCCCATACGAAACAACATCTATAAAAATAAACCAATATTAAACAAATTATCAAATATAAAAAAAAATAACATTATACCTCCATTAGATCTTTATCAGTAGATTTTTTATGTTTTGTGAGTGGAGCTGGAACATTATTTGTATTCCAAAGTCTATAAATATTACTCTTATGCATAGTTTTTGCTTCTTCAACAGTAGGTTCAGATTTTATTTCTTCTATGTTTTGTGAAGTGTCATCAATATCCTAATATCAATAAAATTATTTATTTATACTATTAACAGGTCATAAGAAAAATGAAATATACGTACCATTTTTTCAATAACATCAGTTTTATTAGATATTGGGCTAGTTGTTTCAGAATCTACTTTTAAACGCTTTGGTGGTGAACCTTCAGATAAATGATTAACATTGGTTGTTGCTTTATCTTTAGATTCAGTTGGCGGGCGTAATAGCGAAGCAAAAGTTTGAAAACACATTGTACTACAGAAAAATATTTCATCTGCACACTCTTCAACAGTTAAGAAGGGAATTTCACTTGCTTTCTTTTTTATTAAATTATTTAATATAACTAAATCACAATGACGACAAAATTTGGCAAAGCCATTTAATATAGTTTGAATATCTATTGGAGCTCCTTCTTTACCATCTTTGGTTTTAGATCTGTACAGTCCTAATTTATGTGACATTGGTGTAACAGTTCTTTCAGTAACTTTATAATTGGGAATATCAGGTAAATCGAGTAAATTAGCTAAGCCTTGAAGAACTCCCATAATATCTTCAGCTGCATCTGAAGTTATAGTTAATGTAACTGTCATGGTATTGGAATCTCGTAATGGTAATGCAGGTGAACTTCGTGGAGGCGTTTTACCAACTTGAGATAACATTCCTTGTCTAACGCCCTGATTTTCTTTATCATCTTCTATATTGATTTTATAGTTGGGACGAGGTTTTAGAGCTAATGGTGCAACAAGTTGATGAACTGGAGACATATATCGAGTGAAATTTAACAATGTATCTGTTGAATCACTATCGTCATCATAATTTTTAAGCCCTGTAAAAATTTGATTTAATTAACTGAAATCAAGATAATAAATTTGAAATAAATACCTGGAAAATGGATTGGAGTTTGACATACTGCCAACTCTGGTGAAGAAGAGCTCATTACAGTGTCTGGAGTATCATCACGATCACGTCCAATTTCAAACTTCTTTTCATCATCTAAAATATTTATTTACAACACATTAGTAAAAATAATATACATAATATTTATGTTTTATTATTACACGTACTATCAGATTCAAACTTCAGAGGGTCAAATTCCTCGTTGTAAAAGCCTCTTTGAGTTGATGGTTGAGGTAATGGTGAGACAGGTTCCAAATCACCAAAAGGTTTTGTATTATAATAATCACTCTCACCTGGCAGATTACAAGAGCCTATTTTACCATTTAAATCGCCACTTTTAAAGCTGAAAATAAAATATATTATTCTTTTAAAACAGAACTGATTAAAATGGAATATGATAAATCAATTTTGTATTAATATTTTTGTATACTTTTGTTGAGACAATACATCTCCAATGCCAAACAATGGACAAGCTGTTAAATTTTGGTTTAAAGATGGCTCAATAACACTCATTGGCTGAAGCTGTCGTAATTGTGACATGAGTGCATCAATGAAAGAATCATAATCTTCTTCTGGTTTAGAACCCTAAAATAATAATAATAATAATAATTCAACAATATAATATAGATGTTTACAGAATGTAAAAAAGTTTAATAATATCCATTTATATTACCTTTCGATGTCGTTTTTTTGGGATGATTGTAGAACTTACATCTTTCCCTTGACTTTGCCTACGTTTAGCATAATATTGCCTGCGTTTATACTTCTTTTGATCTAAGATAAAATAAATTTAAAATCAAGATCCAATAAAATGTTATCATGTAAAATATAAAAAATTTTACCTTGAGTATCTGCATTCATATCTAGTGACATATTCATAGAATTATTCATATCAGCTGGATCTACTATTCTAGTAGAATTTTGAGGTGACACTAATTCGTCTGATGACATGATTTCTCTTTTTACTTCTCTTTCAGGGCTAAATCCACTCATAGTAGTTACAGGAGTATGTACTTCATTTTTATTTTCTTCATCTAAATGCTCTAGTTTAATTGCAGAATTAATTGACTCCATGATTGAATCTGATGAAGCGATTGGTCGAGTTGATGTTTGCGATTGTGGTGTTAGCTGTGATTGAATCTGTGGTTCTGATTGTACTTGCAGAGAAGATGATTGTGATTGTGGTGTAGTTGGTGAAGTTTGTGTAACTGGTGTTTGAATATCAGACCGCTGTAGAATAACTACAGGTTTAGGAGATGACTGTGGCTCAAGTTTTAGAACTTGAGCTTGTGGTTCAGATTTTTGTACCTGAATTTGAAGTTCAGGCTTTTGTAGCACTTGAGGCTCTGATTTTTGTGGCATAGGTTCAATTTCTAGTTTTAAAGGTTTTAACGATTGATGTTGAGATTCAAATTTATCATCTTTTTTTGGTGAAAGTAATGAAGGAAATAATAAAGGTGGTGTAGGTGAAACAGGCCTTGCAAGTTGAGCTTCAAGAGAAGGTATAATTGGCAGACTTATTGCAGTTGTAGTAGTTGGAGTTTGATTAGCACATGCAGTATTCTGAAGAAGTTGTTTAAGCAATACGTTCTGAGATTCCTCAACAACTTTAGGAATACGTGATTCCTGTTTGGGTATATTTGTCATAGATGATAATTGAGAATTATTTTTTAGTTCTTTATCTTCAGGTTTTGATATTATTTGAATTGATTTAGCATATGAAGTCGAAGATGTAGTAGTAAATGCTGTTATTGATTCCCAAGGATATTTTTGAGAACTTTGCACGACTGATGTTGTACGGGCTGGTAAAACAATAGTTGAGTGTTTTGTCTGCTCATCTGATTTTGATGTTTCAATTTTAATGAAACCGTCTTTTTGTTTGGGAGACATTATAGTACTTAAGATTTGAGCTAAATCTGAAGGTATAAGATTATCTTGCTTTGTTAATAATAAATTTTGTTTGACTTG